CTTCTTCTTCTTCTTCTTCTTCTTCTTCTTCTTCTTCTTCTACGTAGCATTCGTTGCATAGGCGGCTCGTTCAACTACCGACACGACTTGCCGGCTCCAAGTTCTCACATCGACTGACCTAGTGATTGCCATTCGTCGCTTTATATCGTCTACCGCCGCTATTCGTGCGAAAGTACTTACACTCCATTGGAGGTGACTGTACCTATGTTATTGAAATTATGTATACACATTAGGTTCACCGATATTCACATCGCCGAATCCTATTATCCACCTACACACTATTTGTCAACCATAGGTTGATGACAGTCTTAAAAATGCATTTGATTACTGTTTTTAGTCGAAATCATGCCAATTTTTGTATATGTCGTGGATATACTACCCTCGTAGTAAACTTATGTTTATTTTTATCATTGGAATAGAAGTTGAACATCAAATTTAAGTTTGTCATCATATATGCTACTTTGGTCTCGTGGCCATACCATTCTTAAAACCCGCAAAGACAAACTACCTAAAACGTCTTTTATTTTTGGCTAAAATTTTAAAAATATAGTTTTTATCTCAACCAATGAAATGAAATTATTCACAATATAGAAATTTTTGTGACGTTTGATAATGGTGGGAATCCGAAAATGAATCCACTTCAGCTACAGTCTATTCTAACCGTCCTATCGAAAATCGGAACGAACTTTCCGGACAACCTATAATGTTAATACAAAGTGTCAAATGAATGTAACAGAAGTAGTTTATTCCAAATTGTATCACAAGTATATAGAGATAGAGTTCAATTTTGTCAAATGTACCGATATTTTTGCACACCTTGACTGCTTCGTGACTTATGACGCTGTGGCTCCTACGATATTTATGGGAACCTTGCATGTACTCATATATTTGACGCTGTGTATGTACCGATGTATTTGAGCAGGGTGAATGTATCTATTAATTTGAGGACTTTTGTTGTACCGATATAATTGATTACTTTTGGTGTACCTATATATTTGCATATCTTGTCTGTTACGATCTATATGACGCTGACTGTACCTCACAATTTCTGGAATACAAATTCATTTGCACAGTTTCATTGCTGGAGCAAAACGTACAAAGTACTACAGAGTACTTAATAATACTGAAGGCAATGTAAACATACGTCGGCACACAATGGGAAAACGATCCCAGTGCGAGAACGTTAGTAAATGTTTTAAATATAGCGGATTATGGGCCAACGGGCTTGTACGGATTGTAAAACAAGGCCGACCCCATTCGAATTCATTTTACAGGAAAAATTTAAACTACGTAATATAAATCTTTACTTCAGGAAATTATTTTAATATCACTCTTTCCAATTTACGTGGAAAAATCATGGTTTTTACTCTATATCTACAAGTCTCAAATATGTTATTTACATGTTTCCAGCATGGCATTTGGTGCTATATTCCGTAGCTGGAATATTTGGTATCCTGAACTACGTTTTCCTCCAGGAAACTATGCAGTTGGTTGACAATAATTGCATGTTGAAGCCGCGCGAGCTCGCCTTCCGTATGGTTGAACTACCAAATGATACCGCCGAAGAGATTGCGTATAGCAAAGATCCGTCCAGCAAACATAAAGTTGATATTAATATAGTGACTGATGGAACAGACTCAGCTTCTAATGACAACGAAACGAATAAAAATAAAAGACAAGTGACGGAGACAGTCGATCATCCTGAGGTTGTTGATGAAGAGAATGTCACCATGTTGACAGGTAAGGTTATCGTCGTATAAAGGAGTGGTCTGGTCTACTGTCTGTTCAACTGTCTAGGCCACTGAAACGGCCATCGGGGATCTTGATCGTTTCGACTATAAAAACATCGTAATTTGCAGGTAACGAAACCCATCGCCTAATGTTAGACACATCCAGGACTCTGTTCGCGCGGGACAATGACTGCCAGTTCGTGGAGTACATGCCTATTATGTCAACGGTGTTCGCCGCCGTCTGGATTACATTCTTCACAATGTGCCCTGGAGGTGGACATTCTAGATCAGGGTATGGATAGAATTTATTATGAGTACTATGTCATAAATTCATATAGCCGTTGTAAATCCACTTGGCTGTTTAGAAATACATGAGTTCATAGTTTTCAGCGAGCCGCCATAAAGTTTGATTCTTATAACACCCAGGCTGCAGCGTCCGTGGCGTATCGTAGCGCCGGCACTGATCTTCTCCTTGGTGTTGGTGGGGCTGACGGGGCACAGCTTCATACAGACCAACAGCGGTATTCAGGACTTCTGTGCCGCCTTCTATAATGTCACCAATACCACCACGTAAGATAAACATTTCTTAAGAGATTTCGTTGAACTTCAAACAGCTATGTGCTAAACAGGCCGTTACAGAATTGAATAGGTTACTATGCAACGCTAACTAACAGATTCAATCCAATTTTTAAGACTTTGTAAAAGATTCAATGATTTACTTATAAGATAGGATGTGTGTTACAGTTGTTCTGGTGCTAACTCATATCTGGAGAGGGGAGTATCCGCCCCATGGGGTCTGGGAGGTCGTGCGGGTGCGGTGCGCGCGGCCAGCGCCGGCGTGTGGGCGAGCTGGGCGTGCGGCGCCGCGCTGCTGCTCGCGCGCTGCCTCACCGCAAGGGACTTCGTCGTCAAACGAACCGCAGTATACCTCGCTAGAGACCCACAACAGGCATGTATTGATAAAATACCCAGTAGTCAGCTGACGCTGTTGTATACCGGAAAATTTAAAAAAACTACAATTTTTTTTAATAATTAAGTTAAGAATACTAAAATAAAAAGCGCTACATATATTTATTTACATATTTATTAAACTCACTTAAACTATTTCTTAAAACTATTTATTGCAGAAAATAACTCCGTATCTTAAGAAAACGAAACGTCGCAAATCATCACCGAACTCTCCGATAGTCAAGGACAACGTATCGATCAGATCCGAGCCTACAGCTACCACGGAGCTGGTGACGGCCTCCATAGAACCTGGCCAGGAGACCGCGGTCAACACGCCCGAGGTCACACCTGTCAAAAGACCAATCAGGGAAGATGTCATTGAAATGACACACTCACCACAACTGACCAAATAAAAATATTTATTTTTATATTGAATAACATATAACATAATGCCAGCATATAACAATATAATATTAAGATTATCAGTTTGCTAACCTGCCAGATAAATAATTTTTAACTGTTAAATTAGTAGCTGGAGTTTGACTTGGCACGTCGGGCAGAAGTTTCCTTTAATTCGCAACGTGCCAACTTAAATATCGTAATAGAATTTTGCCCAATTTGACATGCTCACTCATCAAATGACGATACAAGAAAGTGTATCTGAATATATATTAATTGGAATTAATACGAATTACGTGAATATGAATATATAAGTATATATATATTCGAATTATTTCGAATATGTTTATGAATTTGTGTGGTAACATTACCAGAATTATTGAATTTATTTTGGTCGGAATGTTTTGACTTAAAATTATCTCGATGTTAAAAATATATCATTTATTTTTTCATGTATATAATATTACTGTACTTTACTTTTTACAAGACATGTATATATTTATAACGCTAAGAATTAAAATTTTTTTTATCAATTTGCTGCATATAATCCAATGCTCAATAAAATAAAAGTTAATTTAAACCACTTTCGAATTAATAAAATACGCTCAGAAAGGCTCAAAAATTAAAGCTCATGTACTGCTGATATATAATATAAAGCACAGAAAAACTTATGTACACCCTTGATTTACATAGTTTATTGTTTTTCGAAATTTTTCTATGTTAAGATGCATGAAATAATAATCTTTAATTATATTTTTAGGTGTAAAGAAATTTTTGATAACAGTGTTTGTTACAAATATAAAATGTTAACTATAAAACATAGTTTAGTTACGTTAATATTGCTTAAAATTTTATTGTTTTGCTTAATGATAAAAGTAATAGCTATCGATTAAAATGTCACAATTAATTTTAAGAAAATAATGCTATAAATGTATTATGGATGTTGCATTTACAATTACAAAATAAAGTAAATCAGTCGATTGAATTTAACATGTATGTAAAACTAAAAGACCATTTTTCCACTAAACTATTTGTCACTAGCTGTTAGCTGTTATTTTTAGGGCCGCCTCCCGAACAGCGTATCAAAAGCGCCAAAATCATGCAGGTGGCCCTTTTCCCATAAATAATCCGATATGCACACAACTCTTAAATAACAGTTGTGACGAAAAACAATTTTCCGCACAATCTTCAAATTGTTTACTCTGTGACCTAACATAGTTGTCATTTGGTCTTTATGACCTAAAGGTCTATGTTACCAGGTCATAAAATTAAAAAAAAAACATTTGTTCTTTGATTATTTACTGACAGTGTCAGTCTGACACTTCTTTGACGTTTAAAACAGTGCACGAAATAAACAAAGTTTTCCTTGGAATAAAAACTGAGTATGAAATTTGGACACTAATTAGAAGATTATGATGAGATTACCCCAGGTAAAAAATTTATTTTGCAAGAGACATGTTTTATCTCAATTCTTACGGTATACACACCAAGAGCATCAAATATCTAAGTCAGTTTTGTATCCTCTTAGTAATAGAAAATTACTCAACGTAAAAGGTAGCGATGCATCAGTATTCCTACAAGGGTTAATAACGAACGATATGCGACATTTTGAAGAAGGAGCTAAATCTATGTACGCTATGTTTCTTAACAACAAGGGCCGGGTTATGTACGACACATTAGTATATAAATGGAAAGATGACTCTTATTTATTAGAATGCGATTCTAGTGTAATCAATGCCATACAAAAACATTTAAAAATGTTTAAGTTAAGAAGACAGTTGGAGATCAAAGATGTTAATGATGAGATTAAATTATGGGCACTAATATCACCTAATGTACCTGATATCATTGATGATAGTATTCAAATTTATAAAGATCCTCGTCTTATTGAATTAGGGTCAAGAATTATATCATCTGTGTCAGTAAATGAAACCAAAATAATAGATACTATAGAGAGAGATATTACTATAGAAAATGATAACAATGGTTATAAATATTTAAGGTATAAGTTAGGTGTCAGTGAAGGAGCAGATGATTTGCCTCCTGGAACGAGTTTTCCTTTAGAAGCCAACTGCGATTACCTCCATGGCGTTAGTTTCCACAAGGGCTGCTACATTGGACAAGAATTAACAGCCCGAGTTCATCATACTGGTGTAGTTCGCAAGAGGTTGATGCCCTTAAAATTTACTGCAGACGTTAAAGATTCTATACAAAAAGATTGTCCTATAACAGTCGCAAATAATACGAAAACAAGTGTAGGAAAATTAAAAGGTACTACTCAGAATTATGGATTAGGTTTGCTAAGGATTAAAGAGGCTATGGATGCTAAAATATTAAAAGTTGGAGATTATGAAGCTGAAGTAATAAAACCTTCTTGGTGGCCAATTGAAGCACCAAGAGAAGTTACAGCAAAGAAAGAACAAAATTAAGATTATATGTGAATAACCAGCATCAAATAAGATTCAAATATTAATATTATGTAGGTATTATTTGTAGGTTTGAATTATTTACTTTATGAAATATTCTATTCATTAAAATTAATTGTTTCTTTTAATAAAAAAAAAACTTAAGAATTAGTAATTTTTTTTTAGGGTCTGGATTAGAGACTATGCGATTTCTACATAAATCTGCATTTATTCTTACTTAAATCTGATTTTGAATTGAGTTTTGTAGTATAACATATATGTCCTGAATAATAACCAAACTCGTTGTTTCAGGAAATGGATGATCCAAAGAAAAGTGTTGAAGAAAAAGAATTAGTTTATGAATTTAATTGTGTGTCATGTAATCTTAATGAAAAGGCACATTACAAAGGAACTAAGCCACCATTCTCACGCAATATTATCCTTAAATATCCGAGCTATGTGATGAAAGATCCATTCAGTCCACCGGGAAAAGGTGAGGTATTAATGTTGGGTGCTGATTGTGCAATATGTGATAAACCAGTGTGTATTAGCAAAGAATGTAGCATATTTTATACGAAGCTCTTCTGTTTAAATTGTGCAAAACAATCATTAGAAAAATTTCCTGTAGAAATTCAAAGCAAAATAAATTCAACTAAAAAATAATTTCTGTGTTTTATTGTATACTAACTCTGGACTAAGCTTTCTTTATAAATATAGTCGTACTTTACTATAATACGAATAATCATATAATGGACCTTAAAATATAATAGCCCAAGTTGGATGTTTGAACATTGTTGTAGAGTTGATCGAGTCAAAGGTAGGGAAAATATAAGAAACATTTTTTATAAAATACTGTTTACTTTGGCTTTCCAGTCCGATTTACAGTATTTATCAATTTTTCACAAATCAATTTCAATAACACAGATTATATCCAAACTGAAACCAGTTCCAGTAGGGATTTAAATTTAAAATGTAAATCTTTTTTTATACATAAAAATTATAATTCGTTTACAAGCAAAACTGGAACGGGCACTGCGATCGCGACACAACAGAAAGCATACAGTCACAATACGACGCGCCACGTCTATAAACAAAATACAACCTTAAAATTAGAAAAAAAAATGATAATTACAGCATAGCTAAATTTTAAGGTAATATATATTAATAAGCTCTAAAATCAGGACAACGCCGAATATTATCTCTATTGCCAGTCGATCCGTAACAGTCCGATAGCACCACATTACATCAAACCCTTCCAGCTATGACTTGCACGAAATAACACGAACATTTTGACACTTAGTGGGTCACGACTTCCGCTATATTGACACATATTGTTGTCTCCATTATTTCAAAGAAAATGTAAGAGATGACAATATGCGTCCATGCAAGTGTTACTACAGTCAAAACCCAAAGTAAAACATAATTCTAACGACTAACTGTTAATTTCTGAGATCACGATCTACGGATAAAACATATCGTCATCCCTGTTATTATCTTTGACAAAACAGAGATAACAATATATTTTTAATGGGGGTTTTGGTCTCAGAAACCCTATATGAAACCAATACAATATCCATGATTATCTTAAATTACATTTAAACAAAGAGTTATAAAGGTTAAAATTGTCGAATCAAAAATATCTTCAATATTTAAGTATGTATTCAGAGATTATGGCATTTAATTCAGAATTATATGGCGTCGAAATTATCGTGTTATTTCGTGACGACTTCAAAGAGTAATGCACTGCATCGCTACACGACAAGGCGATGCGTATCGTCCATTACAACCATTATTTTAAGTAAAATACAAATTATTATGAAAAACATTATTGCTGTGTGATTTACATCATGTAATTGTTCACTACAAAATTACATACATTTAGGATTCGAGATATATTTAGATGAATGATAATATTAGACTAAATTTCCTAAATGAATGAATAAAAACTCAGATGTGAAGACTGCGTTCAATTAATTTATGTACATTACTATGTTTTATATTGAAATGAATGTTATTGGAAAGTTACTCAGAATTAGGCAGCATCTAAACATTGATTTCCACTACTTAATATCAACTAAAACATTATTACTTCAGATTTACAGTTAAAATAAAACATACCATATATCATATTTGCATTCGAAACCTACAGTAATGCCTACATATTTATAAAGGGTAAAACTGTTTTTTTTTTACATCTAGAAGTACTATAAATGAATTTATTTTACCAAACACATCGTGCAGATTAAAAAGATCCTACTGATAACATGGAGCAAAGATTTTATAAAGACATCGACAACATCTAAATTACAACGGTTACAAGAAGAAATTTACAATTATATTTTCACTATACATTTATATCAAAGTATATACGTGTCCTAAAAGGTGTGCCCCAGAATATGGCCAATTAAAAAAAAATGGTGGGATATTTTGTATGAAACTAAATTTAAATACAAGCAAAGTTAACAGCTGTATATTTACATTCAGTATCATACAATAAAAAAATGCATCAAGATTCATACAGAAATCACTTAAAATATTAATAAAAATAAATATCGGCCGCATTCTGGGGCTGTAAAATTTCGAAAAGGAGGACGGGTGACATTTAAGATTAGGTATAAAAATGTGATTTATGACTACACTGGGATACTGTGGTTAAGGTACACATACATCTTACACTAAAAGAAACTCTCACAGCCGAAAATTAATAACAATTTTGATTATTTTTAATAAACGAGGATGTCCCGTGACATGCGCGAAAATAAAATATAAATGTAGCTTATTAATTTAAGCAAGTAAGCGAATGACTTTTTTACATGACAATATACGATATGAACTAGAGTTCCAAGAGATTCCTGGATATTACATACATTACTGAGCGCAATTTTCAATTGAATAACTTAAAACGATACTAACATTAAGAGAACTCGAGTAATATTAAGCCAAACAGTCTCAAAATATAACAATTTAAAATTATAATTTACATGCCTAAAAGACACACCTTTGAAAAGCATATAAGGACTATAAATTACACATTTTTAGTAAGTACCCTACATTTTTTTTTTAATTAAAAGCCTGAATGTCCTAACTTTGTACGTGACAGGCTATAATAATAGAAAAAAATATTTATGTAAAACAATGAACACGTATTTAATAGCTAAGCAAAGATTAAAAGTGATGTTTAATAGCTCTTACAGTGTAGCTATGAAAATTAAAAAAAAAATATATATAAAAAAATCTACAATAGAATTTGAGCCAACTAGCCGCGTTGAGAGACATCAAAAAGATTTCTGTACCCATTTATTTTAAAAAAAAAATAATTACTTAAATGATTTTAAAAAGTGAATAATATTTGCACTATCAATTTCATATGGAGTAATCTTAGATTTTGAAAAAAAAAACTAAAATAGTTGATTACATTATGCATATTTCAAAACTAAAAGTTTTACTGATAGTTGTCATAAAAAATGCAAATTCATCATTTTTTCGAGATGTTTTAACGCCAAAAGACATGCAAACACATTGTTAGCTTTGGGTTTTTTATAAGAGAAAACGGACGATATGTTTCTGTCGAATTCAATAGAAATGAATATTTACACATTTCATTGGCTAAAAATGTAATTTATGGATTTATTTTAGAAAGTTTTAGTGTTTTAACGATACAAACATGTCTGTTTATAATAAGTCTGTGATTACAGCTTTTTAAAAGAAAAATTATTTAGACAGGTTTGTTATAATTTGTAATTTCTATTGAATTCCACGATACAGATCACGGTTTTATTGTGTAATATGATTTTAAAGTATGAAAAACTTATTAACTGTAAATGCATGATTATTAGTTTTCCTAAAAATACAAGCAAAAGTTTCTAAATGTATTTATCAATAAAATATTTTCAACTTTTGCAGAGTATTATAAAAATTTGGATTAAATTTTTTTGTTAATATTAAACAAATTATGAATGAACTGAAAACAGTTTTTTTTTAATATTTGGTTTTACGATATTAAAATCATTTTATACACAACTGTACATTTCAAACATTATGCGTCGACTTTGCTACGAATTTATCAACTTTACAAGACACACAAAAATATTTTAAAATTGGTCGACAGAAAATGTTTTCCATCCCTGTAATGGTGCAGTGTGTTCAGGGATAGCAAACCTTTTTAAATGTATTCAACGGTTCTTTTTATTTATGTTTTTAATTACTTTAAAATTATTACTTACATTTGTTACATCAATGTAATGTATAAAATAATTTTTTCTTGTTTGATATTTCTGCTTTAACGCTGATTTTATAAGAAATGTTTTACATTTGACAAGGTCAATTACGTCACCATGGTGATTAAGATGTCAAATTTTTTCAAAGATGTTTAAAATCTCACTTTTACACAATAAAATACGATTCATTTGAAAATGGCACTCAACTATCAACACATCGTATTTGTACAGCAAACAACATAGCATATACTATGTTTATTGTCCCATTGAATTATTTTATGACACCACCAATGCCATTCTTGTGCACTTTACAAGAAGGGCATTGTGACGTCACAAGGAAACGAGTCTTGCGCGTAGTACAACTAACACAGTCACCCGATACAAGCACTCCAAAATGATGTCACAGACTTAGACAAAACTACTCAAAAAGAAATAGACTTCGTACTGCCCGATAAAGTAAACGAAAGTCTATGTCACATACAGTAGACAAACGCTTAAAAAAGTCTAAAAGAATGTTGGTGCTCTAAGTTAGGCAACCTTTCTTCATTGGCAGTCAAGTCAGGTCGTCGCACAAGACTTTCATAGCACTAAATATGTGGAGACATCGAGGCACGCTTTCGTGGAGTAACGCTCGTTGTCTCTCTCATAGAATGTCACATGCGTCCATTGCACTGCAGGTGTGTCTAGCGCAGGTGCAGGCGCAGGTCCAGGGGGCACTAGGTCGCGGCAGAGGGCGCGGACGTGGGCGCGGGGGCGGGGGCGGGCGTGTCGGGCGTGCGCGGTGGGCAAAGCGCAGCAAGCGCGCGCACGGCGAGCGTCAGTAGCGCGAAACGATCGCTCTCATGCTGCAGTGGCGGCTCCTCCTCCGGCGACTCCTCCGCTTCCGCCTCCACCTCCGCCACCATATCCTCCCCCACGTCGTCCGCCTCCGCCTCCGCGTCGCTGCCCTCGCGCGATGGACACTGCGCCGGCTCCGATGCCTCCGTACTTAATTCCGGCTCAGAGTTTTCTTCGTCTAAATATATGAGAAAATAAATTTAATAAAAAATGGCTTTATTAGTAGTTTCATATGATTCAAAACTGCAAAATAGCTGTTAAAGATTAATTGGTACTTTTACGAATTTAGTGTTAACTGACCAGTGGCCCGCAGAAGGCGTTGCTGTAGCGCGGCGATGGCTCGCTGCAGTGCCCGGGAGAGCGAGGCGGTGCGGTGCGCTTGTTGCGCGAGCAGCGTGAGCGCGCGCACTCCGCCCAGCAGGACCGAGTGCGGGGAGCGTACTGCCGCCACCGCCAGCTCCTCGGCGAGCGCCTCCGCCGCGCACGCCGCGCCCGCCGCGCTCGTAGTCCCGCCCGCGCTTGCCACGCTCGAGCCCCCTGCTCCCCCAGCACCCGACCCGCTCGCGACACTTGACGAGCCAGACGCCACGGACGGGCTCGACATACCGCAGAGCTGTCAAAATTTTATTAATCATAAAACATTTTGTAACTAAATTGCCTTATTTTAACAGTTCGAAACTATATTATTCAAGAACATGAAGCAAGAAAGAATATATTAGCAGTGTAATGGCATACCTTGGGGTAGTAGTGCTGCATGAACTCGTGTATGGCGCAATCTTCGAGGGAGTCCCGCTCGTCCAGCAGCACGGCGTCCACGTATTCCGTCACCACCGAGCACTCCAGCAACATCTCCTCGAGCTTTGCATCAGCCTACACAAGTACCGCAATTCGTTATAAAAATACAAAATTATACCTCGTATTATTCAGTGCGTGCAAATCTTTTAAATCAAACTCTAGGTTTCAATCTAATATATTTACTAATATTAGAATACGATGTAGGTAAGACGTGAGTTATAATATTACCGGTGTATTGGCAATGTCGCGCCAAAATGCAGCAAAGTAGTTGAACTTGAGCGGTGCCGCCTCCAGCGCGCACAGCGCAGACAGTAGCACTAGCTGCTCAGACATGCAGCGCTGGTTGCGCGCGACGCGGCAACATGTGTCTAACACAAATAATACACATCATATTATATTTTAACACAGAGAAAAAAAAAAATGGCGTTTCGTCATCAGCAATAGAAATACATCACATAAACGAAATATTATTCGATATTAAATACAGAAACTACAATTTTATGATTACTTTATTTAAAGCAACTGATATTTAAAAATATAGTACGAACCTATAAACTTGTGATAAGGTCGGTATACAGGCGCGAGTGGTGCGTGAGTCGGTGCCGGGGTGCGCGGCGTGCAGTGCGCGGCGAGCGGCGTGCGAGTCCTGGGCCGCGTTGCACCGCGCACAGCCGCGTGCGCACCCGCCGCCAGCGGCACCAGCGCGCCGAGTGCAGCACCGCCGCCTATCAATACCAACTCACGGAGCACGCCTGCAAACATACGCAAATCATTACTTATTACATACTAGCCCAACCAAGACTCCGTCTGTGTGAAATTGAAAACAAACTTAATAAGTAGCCTATGTTTTCTTCCAGACTATGTTCTATATCTACGCCAAATTTCAACGAGATCTATACAGCCGTTTCAGATATACATTCAAACAAACATCCATCCAGCCATCTAAACATTCGCATTTATAATATTAGCAAGATACATATTTGAACCGAAACAATAAAACAGAAAAATGTAAATATGTATAATTGTTAAAAATTACAAACTATGTCCTAATTACATTGCCTTTGTCATTAGTCAATATCGACAACAAAACTGACCAAGAGCCGCAAGCCGTAAATGACTGAGCCTTTGATGCAGGTTGAGCATGGTGAGCAGCCGCCTGGCGCATTCAGGCCAGTCCTTGCAGGCCAACAGCAACGCGCGCGCCTCCTTGGCGTCGCGGCGCGTGCGCAGCGTGCGGCAGAGCGCACGAGCCCACCGCAACGCGGCGGTCAGCTCGGCACGCACCGCCCCGCCCCCACCACCCACACCCACGCCGCCGCCCTCCACGTAAACCGCATGCAGACTGTGTAGCGCCTATCGAATAAAGTATACACGATTAAAAAAGTCAACTCAGAATTTGGCAAAGATATAATTAACATTTACTACAACATACCTCAAAAGTCATTTGCAAGCCACCGTTGTACACAACGTATAGTCTATCGTCTTCGTTCTCCACTAATGTACAGAATGCTGATATTAACGTCGTCCAACAAGTCCTTCCATTTAAACCTTGAAAACAAGATTAAAAAAATGAATATACATACGAGCTTGAAACAATGTTCTACCGTTTCTGCTGAGCTCAGTAACCAAAATATTAGAAGGTAAATGTTTACCCTGTAAGTAGGCAGAGAGCGTACTACGACGGAAGGCGGCGGCTTCACGGCTGTCAACGCCCTCAGTGCCACTGCCACCTGACCCGCCACCGCGCGCCGCCAAGATGCGTGCCAGTCTGTACCACAAATATACATTCATACAAATAGTATTGTTTATATGCAAACCCAATTATATAATATAAACTGTTGAACGACAAGATACCTAAGCAGTTCATCAGCAGCGCCCGGGTAGAGATGTGCATGTGGTGCGATGTTGCGGAAGGCCCAGTGTATATTCTGGTGCTGGGCCAGCGAGCGTGCGAAGGCGGCAGAGCGCCGACAGCACAGCCGCAGCAGTGCGTAATAGGGCGGCAGCATCGCGCGGTTGTACGCCACCACCTCGCCGTCCTCGTGGTCAGCGCTAACAAGAAAAAAATATTGACGACAATTTAATTACAACGCCATCTAGTTATTTTTAACCGTACACTTCTGGCAATTTGCTATGTTGTGAGTTATTCTTTATAAAACATCTGTGGTTTTTAGTGAGAAATAGCATATTGTTAATGTCATTGTTTGTTTAACGCGTACTCAGTTTCAGTATTAACTATGATTACAAATATTGAGTAGTAAAGTATAAATAGGTAATCATTTCATATCTAAATATTGTATTAAAAAAAACGATTATCAAGTCTCACAGTATGTAGTTGAATGCGATGTGCTTGATGAGGCGCGGGTTGGCGATGGCGAGCTGCACGTTCTCGGGGCAGTCGACGCAGACGGCGTGCCAGAAGGTGAGCAGCGCCTGCTTGTTGGGGTGCACCGCGACAGAGGGCTCGCTGATCGACGGGTGGTACAGGTCCCATAGGTCGTTGAAGTACTGCCCGAACTGTTGATATATCACCGATTTATAACTATACACATTTTACACTTAAACTAGAAACTTAGAGGTGACAGTTTAGTCTATTATTAAGTACTACTACTACTTAAAATAAAATGAAAAGGCATCGCTAGCTACGCACCATAAGCTTCTCAACGCGACTGACGACACAGTAAGACATGACGCCAAAGTACGCGGTGAGCTTCATAGTGCCGTGCACCGCAATGTCAGTGTACTTGCGCGCCGCCTTCAGCTTACCCAGCAGCATTGTGTACACCTGACAAAATATAACAAAATAACTATAGTTACTAAATACTTAGCCTACGGCATAAGAGAGTGACGACAATACGTTGCGGTTTTTAGACATACGCCGTGATTAAATGATTTACTGAAACTCATCACATTAGTATCTGAAAATGTCATAAACATTAAAAAATGAGCTCTGACCTGGTGCAAGGTATGATGTGCAGTATCTGGCAGCTTGGCGAGGTGGTGCGCGGGCGCAGGCTGTGGGCGCGTGCGCGCGTAACCCGCGCGGAAGTGTTGCGAGGGCACCAGCGCCACCAGCAAAAGTGCGGCCGCCGCGCGCACTCTCGCCGCTGGTGCTGCCAACAACTGCGCCTCCACCCACCGCTCCGCCGTGCGCAACGCCCACGCGTGCGCCGCTTTATTGCGAGGCACCTGTAATCCATAAAACACAAAAGTAAAATAGGCCATACTCTGTTTACCCTTAAGCAATTCCACCTACCATAAAGATGTGAAGAAATATTACTTTACAAAAGCATAAAAATAGATTTTGGTAGGTGTACCTGTAAGGCGAGCCACTCGAGGGCTGCGTGAGGGCAGACATCGGCAGCGTCCCAAAGGCGGGCGAGCACCAGCTGCGTGAAGCAGGGCAGGCCGCCCGCCGCGCCCGCGCCTCCGCCGCTGCCTTCCACCAGCAATGTCAGCAACTTGAACAGCGCCCCGCAACTCTGACACAACATACAATACAATTACTTCCATATCACCTAGGAAATAAAGTCTAGAATAGCTTAATCTATTGTAAGGCATATTCTAAGTTCAATAGTCTTTTCCTAAAATTTTTGAGAATACGACTGACTACTAACATCTGAATGTTTAGCGATCGCTTGAAAAATCATGTTGACAATCTTCTGCGCGAGAGCCTCGTTCCAGCGGCAGAGTGCGAAGATAAGCGACCGTGTCTGTTGCAAGTTTAAACAGTCGCGAGTCTGTTGGTAGATAAAGGGAAACCCCTGCACAAACAAAACAATATGTATTAAATAACACGAAAATATTAACAACTTCAATAACATAAATACGATTAAAAAAGATTTCTTTTTATTTTAACGAAAAAATACAATTGGTAATAAAATAGGTAAAAACAAGAAAAATAAAATACGATTTTAACCAATTTAACGTTAATTAACAAAGTACGTACATAAGTACGTATTTGTACGTACATGGTGTACGTACCTTGGCATGTAGTAACGCTCGTGCATCAGACTCGGGCAGGGCGAGGTGTCCGCTGGCGTCGCGCGACCGCTCCACCAAGCCGGCGACCAGCGCCACCATTTTGTCAAGCGCGCCAGGCCTCAACTTGTCCCCGCTCTCCCCACCGCCGCCGCTGCCGCTGCCGCCACTGCCGCCGCTACCACCACTGCCACCGCTGCCCCCGCTACCGCATGCCTCCTCGGAAGGGGAATCCGCCTGACGTATTTTGAAGCACTTATAAAAAAACATCCCGATATTGATAGCCAGTTTCCAACCGAACTTTTATGAAATTTAAATTATTTGTTTAATTTAAAGAATATGAGATATATTTTATTCTCTCTCGTTGTCCGTCTTTCTGACTCACCGTGGCGGAGTTCTGTCCGAGGTAAAAGCTGACCATGCTAGAGATAGCGTTAATCCGCAGCATGAATCTGCCCTCCTCCTCCCCCATCTTGCTGAACTCGTACAGCAGACTGAAGTACTCCGTCAGATGGCGCAAGTGAGACCTCGCCCCATTCTCCATCTAAAAACATCAGCAAAAAAGCAGTAGAAAATGTTTTTTTAATTGTTTGAAATCAAACAATGAAATCGAAGGTTAAAATTAAAAAAAAATATGTATGTAATTTTAATTAATAATCTGTATTAAATAACTTACCAACGACAATAACATCCTTATAAACCTAGTAACACAACTGGCTTCCCCCAGCTTACTATTATCCTCACCCTCTTCCATGCCCTGCAGGTACAGGGCACAATGACTAGATCTAAAATAGAGTAATTATATTTAGAACCTTAACACTACTAGATAAAGTCTAAAGTTAAACATTTATTTGACCAAAAATGAAACTAAAAGAAATCAATGCAATTAAAAGTTCTATTACCTTGTTATAAAGTTCAATATTAAATATGTCTTAGTTAAACATACCTCAGCCTTTGAATTACATGCATACACAGCCTCTGGAACATCTGACGCACCATTTGATTTGGACATTTTATTAACACCTGCAATAAGAGAAAAATTTAAGATTGTCTGTGTTTTTTTTTAAATTTAAATTGAATAAAAAATGTATTATTGATTATCTAATTATATTAGTTATTTACAACATTAAAATTCTGAAGCAGGAAACAATATAATTTAAATTAACCTGCATAGGCCACCAAGTATCGTCCGCCATATGACCAAGGAACCATTCAGAGGCGGCTGCGGACGCATTGAACTGCTTCGTCACCAGCTCCACCCACGACACCATTGTCGGCTGAAAGAGACATTATTATTATACTACAACACAACACATCCCCGTAACCAAGAGGGGTGGGCAGAGACTATTACATTATTATCACGTATATAACAAAATGTGGTAGGTAGAGATCACAGATTTCCCTTTTTAGCACGATAAATATTGGTAAGTTTCGTAACCTCCATATTTCTTTATCGTGTAATCTTATAGTATCAGGTTATATTCTAAAAATACCAATACATATTAGTTAATTTACAATTTTTTTTTCACCTTTTCTTTAGCATGTATAAATGTTTCAATGAAAAATGATGTGGAGAGTCGCGCGGCGACCTCGGTGACCTCCGGCCGCAGGGTCAGCAGTGACTGCGGGACCGAACTACACATCTGACCCATGAACCTAAAGAAAATGGCAACTTTTTATGTCAAATGTCTTCAAATAGTAACATTATAGATACAAGGTTGGATTTGGTCTATGAGTGATTTTTAAAAGATTTCATCACAAAAAAGGGACAAAGGTTTAAAGAACCAAAATAATATTAATTTTTAATTTAAAACAAATACTTTTTTTGTGATTGTATACGCTGATGTTATTCAACTTGAGAATGCTACTTCGATTAATCTTAATTTTAATAAAGACATTTTTTTTCATTTTGTCACCATAAAAATATATATTTCAATGTTACGTTACTAGAAACTTCTATAATTCATATGATACTAACGTGAAATAAGCGTGCTGGAATATGTTCTTGTCGTGTAGGAACTGCATGTTGTCGTCCCAGATCCACTTGAGCAGATCGGGCGGTAAAGTAACCGCGGGTGCAGTTTCGCAGCGCCGCTCCAACTGCTCGCTAGTACCGGCACTACACTCTTCCGCAGTTGACGACTAGAGAGTTGACACAAGAGAAAGAGAAATGATTATGTAAAAAAATCTGCCCCTAAGAACGTGTGCTTAGCAAAGTTAAGAAAATAACATTTACTACAAATAAAAAACTGATCACAATTATTGAAAAAGAAAAAAATAGCCTAATTAACTCTCGCACACATCAGTTACATAACAGTAATAGTTTGCAGATAAAACTTAAAAAAAAATACACTTTCGTTATAAGCAAATCAAATACATCATATTTGTGAAATATGTTTTTTTTTCAAATTACATACGGACTCTTTTATCAATTTTACATACTTGTGGCTCGTCCGGTCCACCACTGTCACTAGCGCGCGCCGGCCGCGGCGGGCTCAGCTCATAGAACAGCATGTACGCACTATTCGTCTTCTCGAACGAGAAGTCCATAAACTTGTCCGTCACAGAATCATATGTTTTACTCTGGAACAAGATCAATGTTAAAGAGAAAATATTAAATTAAAAGAAAAAAATCCCAATAGCATTTAGTAGCAATTTAGTCTATATGAAGCTTTTTAGAGTATTAAAACAATATTCTATATTTTCTTGTTGGTTTAGTATACATACGGTCATTTCGCCTCCGAAGCACTCGGCGGCGATGTGCGCTGGGTCGAAGGGCTTGACCTCAGCATCGTTAAACAGCAGCCAGCGATCCGCGTGTTCGCGGTCTCGCTCACGGATGAACGAGTAGTAATGGCCGCCGTCCGCCGTGCCCGTGTGTACCGTCACGCCGATCAACTCGTAGCTAGAAGTATTTTAATTATTATAAATCTAATTATAGTAATTTTCAAATATCTTGAGGGCACTGCGCAACTCGCCGGTGGCCGAAAAGATATTTGAAAAAATTATACCATTTTGCTCCTAACATTTTTAATAGCAACAAAGATTCGCTGGCACTCAAGAAGTCTATGCTTATATTTTATAATAGAACAATTTTTTTAAAAATACCTATTTATTAACAGCCTTAGGTTTTAGTACAAAAAAAATTGCATAAATGTACTTACTCATAGTGTTCTTCAAACTCAGAGTTGTCCTCACTCTCCGCACTGGGACTCCCTTCACAGTCCTTCTTTAATTCCTCCGACTTTCTTTTTTCCTCTGTATAAAAAGATACATATAATATAGTATATTAGTGACCAAATTAAAATAAAAATATCTGATAAATTCAAAATAACTTTAATCAAATTTTGCGATTATTTCCACTACCGAAAAATTCAAACAAAATTTTCATCTTTTCATGTTTCTTCAGTGTAAGCCCACTGTTATACTGGAAATTTTAAACCACAATACCTTGATACTGTGCAGGCATGAGATGTTTCTCCACATAACCGGACATGTCGAGCCGCATTGGGAAGGAGAAGTGTGTGTTGACCTTTTCTTTTAGCATCGTCAGCATGTTGAAAGTGTACCTCATAGTATTGAAGCAAAGTATACGAGGTAACTTCTTGAAACACGCCCTGAAATGTTAACAAAATTAAGAATTTTCTTTATACTAGTGTGCACAAGTCTACTCAAGTTAGGTTTTTATTATAAAAAAAGACTACCGTTAATATTCTAATTTTGCATTCGCTATAACAGAATTACTACTTTTTTGTCTTTAAATATGGATCACATAATAAGTGTGTTACCTCTTCTCAGCGCGTACTTTAGCGGAGCACTGCGAGCAAGTATAGCAGTTGTCGCCTTCCAGCGTGTCCTTGACCGTAACCTCGTCAAGACTCTGATGCAAGTTGCGCATGTCCGCCACCTGGCAGCGCACCGTGTAGAACTCTTCCAGGGTACGGGACACGTGTGGACAGTCCTAATGCAACAAAAGTCATCATCATCAGCTCACTATACGTTCCCACTGAGGAGTGTGGAACCTAACCTAAGTCAGGGGTGACTAGGAAATAGTCAACCACCCTGGCCCAGTGCGGGTTGACTTCACACAAAGGTTGAATTTCTTCGCAGATATGTAAAGGTTGAAAAAAATGTTATATCAGTGGTTTAGTGTGTGTTAAAATTACATACCAGCGACACAACATTGTTGCTAAGTACGCCACAGAACAGATTCTTGACCAACTTCTTCAGCTCGGGCGTCATCTCCTCTAGCTTGGACACGAGGTCGATGAAGAACTCCGCCATATCCTTCTGCTCGCCTGTGTTCAGCGGCTGATGATCCATTTGATATACCTTGCAGAAGCTACGAGGATTGTAAGCTTTTCTTTCGCTTTCCTATAGAACGAGGATATTATTTAAACGTGAAAACTTACCTAGTGTAGTGTTCAAAATGAAAAAAAAAAAATAACAACCATTGTTTTGCAAAAGACATGGGAGTGATAACATATTTGTTGTAGTAGGGTAGAGCTACTTTGTCTTCGTCAACGCGGAATTAAAAAAATAGTCTTAGTCACTCCCGCAGACATAAGCTGCCTTCCAATAAAATTCTAGTTAAAATCGGTCCAGAACTTTCGGAGATAACCCGGAACAAATGCGAATTTGCGGATAGACAGAAGTAAAAACAAAACTTTTATGCAAATACAATGTTGATGAAATATGAATTTATATATCGATATTACATACACACACTCCAATTTTTTAATAGATGTACTAACCATGAGATAAGCGAACATTCTCTGCATCTCATGCAGTGTGGCCGCGTGCCTGCTGTGCGCGGGGTCGGCGCTGAGCACGGCGGCGCGCGCCTGCGGCATCATGTACAGGTGCTGCATACACGACGCCATGTAGCACGTCGCGCCTAGATTCGTCAGTCCCACGTATCCGCATTCCGACCGCGACTCCTCCGCAGGCCAGTAGTCCCACGGGTAACCTGATTGCGGCCCTGAAAATAAAGTATCATGGCATTACGATTTTTTTGTACAAATACGTGCTTAAGAATCGCAAATATTTTTATCCTTCCAACAAAGTATCCATATTAACATTTGCACAATTAATTTGCGATCTAATTTTACTTATAATTTATAACATTTCTTACCAGGCTTATGATGTTCCATGAGCTTGTTGTGCAGCACCATGTAGTTATCAGGCGCGCCACGCACCAGCTCCACCAATAGGTCGTACGCGGCCGCACGCGACTTCTGCGACTTGCATTTTGGTAGCTTTCGCTGCTCCGCATTCGGTACATCGAATAGAAAACCAAATACCTGTGATAAAGATAATTTTATAAATGAATATAAATATTCAATCATAAATAAAAAGCAAATAACGTCAAATAACTTAAACTATCTGCCGCACTCGTGTAGTTTATAAGATCTAAGCATGCATCTTAGTATAGATTTCTAATATTAATCCCCACTAAGGGTTCTGGCGACTATTTAACGACCTTCGGCTAACCCATCAGAAAATTCACCTCGATAACATAAAAAAAATTAAAGGAGCCACACGTGAATAAACATCTTTATAATTACCATTTCCAAGGTCCTTGTTCCCTGTTCCGATGTCTTGAACCTGAGCGGGTGCTTCAGCAGATGTGTGAGAAGACTCAGCTGGCCGTACAGTCCGTCATCCGGTGTGCACGGCTCTGTGCGCTTCTCTATTATCTCCCGCTTCTCTAACGACGAACGGATCTGCTCACAGAGCTCGTTCAGATCCGGTGCACCGCTGTCTTCGGAAGTGGCGCCATCTATTACAGTAGTTGGTTGAAGTTTTTTTTATTTAATGAAAGGTAAAATGCAGCAGCTTTTTTACTAACGACGATGAATAATATCTGGCGTTTACCTTTAAAAAAATCTTCCGGCAGTCCGTCAATCAGCCTACAGACGAGCCAAAAGTAGTCCCGGCACGCTGGACCGTAAGGCTCCTTGCCTTCTTCTGCATGATGATGTACCACCTGAAATTTAAATTGCAAAGTGTAGGTACTTAATTTAAATAATTTCGAGATTTTTAGTTACTTTCATGTACAGATATCGTACATCGTGATGTTGTGTTTGGTGATGTACGTGGTGCGGGCGCATGTCGGCAGCGCGTGGCAGGTGCTCCAGCAGCAGCTGCAGCAGCGGTGCCAGTACCGCCACCTCGCCGCCCGCGCACAGCCGGTACAGCGCGCCACCTGCCTCACGACGCACCTACACAAAATGCAATAAAGAGTTAATAAAAACAGAAGAATTTTCAAAATCCAGAAACATATCACAGATTAAACTAAACTAAATTTTAAGTTACATTTTTGGTACTTTTCTATGCAACCAAAATTTAAACTACACTGTTTAATTACCAGACTGTTATCGAATGGAAACACAATTTTAACCCAAAAATAGATAAAGAAACACATGTTTATCACAAAGAATAGATAATTGTTCCAATAGTACCGCTGGGTCGGCGTCATCGAGCAGGAGGCGTGGTGCGGCACGGCGCAGCGACCACGCTAGCGCAACCGCGTCACCTCCGCCCCGCGCCCACCATACACACATACGCATTGCGTGCTGCACCACCTGGATAACATACGAAGTATTCATATAATTTTAATACAAATTTAAAAATAAACAATGGATCACAATTTAAATCCAGTGAGTTAAAAAGGTTACAGATTTTTATAAGCTAAATTATAAAATAGCACACTTTTATTTACTTCAACTTTTCTTTTTATCATTGAATTAATTCTCATAGATTTATTTGGTAGAAATACATTAGTTTCAAACCAACCTGAGCCCTGCCCCAGAACCCTGTCTTGTATGTAGTGGGTTCTTTCACAGCGGCCGCTTCACACAATATTGATATCAATCTTTCAGTTGTCTCTTCTACATTCATCAGAGATAGTAGAGCCTGAAAACATTTATTCAAAAACATTGATTAACAATTTTAACACGATTTTATTTTGACGCCATCATTTTATACAAATTAACCTAGAAGTAAACTATTGGTAACACTTTCAATGGTTCAGAGCTAGTAGGTGGCACTAAATGTCAAATACATACAGGATGTAACTTAGGAGTCTGAGCGGAGTCAGACGTAGGCAATGTCCCGATACGGCAGAGCAGCTGCAGCAGCAGAGCGAGACAGTCCTGTCTCCACTCGCTGTCGTCATTGCGTTGTAATACACCTGCAAATAAAAAAAAGATAAAGTAAAACAATATAAATGCAAAGGTAAAAAAAATACCATTTCTACATTCACATCGAATTCATTCTTGACTCTTATTCGCTACGTTATATATAATGTTTATGAATTTTAACAAATTTAGTTTACAACATTATTAAATTTTTTATAAACTCATCAATGCGTACCTGACATCATGATGTCATATAGTATTCTCAATCCGCCCTTCTTTATAAAGAGTTCATTCCAGTTTTCAACGGCAACTTTTTCTTCTTCAATCTTCTCGATGAGTTCAGGCGAGTCTTTTACATTCGGACCATTATTATTTGAGCTCAGTTTATCAATAATATGTAGAGAGTACATGAGCTTTTGTGGACTGGTCGGGTCGAGTAATTCGGGTAGCTTGCTTTCTATTGGATTTTGGAAGGCCTCTAGTAGAGTCGGATTCAGTGGCACCGCTTGGAGAATATCCCATACACGTCTTGATAACAGTTGCGCTTTTGTATGAGCCACAAGTTCCTGGGGAAATAATTTTTTTCTACTTAAAAAAATAAATTAGGTAAACAATATAAAATGAGACATCAAGAAATACAGCGTACAGCCTCTTAACTCTTTAATGATAATAAAATTATTTAGATTCATCATATAACAGGTCCAATATACAAATATTTTAAAAGACATAAATATGGAAACATAGTAACTATAGCTAAATTAGCTTACCCCATTAGTACCAGGCTCTTTCATCTGTCCCAGCGCCTGCATGAGAGTGAACAGCTGGTGGAAGTAAGTTGGATCGAGCAGCAGCAATGTGGGCAAGCGGGCTCTCGCCGGTGCGGGCTGGGCTGACGGCCACTCCGCCCACGCGCCCCGCCCTCCCACGCCCACTGATACGAACACCAGCTAGTAAACGATACAGAAACGTTAGTATTATTAAACACACATAGCATTTAATTAAATAAAGCGATGATATATTGATGATATACCTGATTATCTTTAAACCCCATGTCATATAGTGTCCTCTCATCATAGTCAATTGTCAGTTCCTGGCCTTGAGTTATCATTCGCAAAGGGCCGTCCGTCGACAACGCAGTAACACCCTCTTCGCCTTGTATCTAGGTAACATAAAAAGAAATAATACCAATTTTTAATCCTCATGAGATTATAGTTTCTAACGGAAATATATGACTTTCTTAGGTCACTCCATATATTGAAGACAAAAAATAATATTATCTTTGTTTCATGGTCAATATGTCATGCTATTGTGTACCTGTTTCTCCCACCAGACGTGAACGTGTGCGCGCAGGTGTGCCACCAGGTCCGCCTGGTGCAGGGATATAGTGGCGCGTGGGCCGGCGCCGGCGGGCTGCAGCGTCAGCCGCACCGTGCCCGTGCCCGCGCATCCCTCCCACGCACCAGACTCCGCTAACGCCCAGCGACGCAAGTGGTACGCGTACCTAGAATTACATTATAAAAAAAATAAACGTAACAAATCTGAATACTGCAGTGAGACTTACCCCTATTAATATTATAAATGCGCAAATAACTCTGTCTGTCTGTCTGTTTGATTGTAAATTTGTATGTAAGTATCGTAATTTTTATAGATAGAAGCTTGAAGTTTCATATTTTGTAAAATATGTAGCCTAAATAATTAAAATGCTACCCAAAGACAGTATTTCACGTTGACGAAGTCGCGGGCACAGCTAGTTAATCCATAAATTAGATGTAACAAAAGTATAAAAATTATTACCTCCTTTTGAATGTATCCAAATGTGTCTTAAGCAACAGTAGCGCCCTCTGTATACATTGCAGCGCAGCCTCTTCCGTCATATGTTCGTAAATATTTTGTTTATCTGCAGTTTTCTCTCCGTCCTTCTTCTCTACATCATCCTCTGCTGGAGTCAATGTCCCTTCCTCTGTGTCATGACTCTTTGAAATCAATCTTTCCGCTGCTGAAGAAAGATGGAACATGCATTTTGAGACGAAGTCATCCTCTTGTTGCAATTGTTGGCCCATGTAATAACTGTTCAGGTACTGGATAGCGCCCATTGACACATCTGTAAAGGGAAGTTTTTTTTTTATTTACACACTTTATAACTCTTGAATAAAATGGATCGTAAACACTGTAAAATTATAAACATTTCATGGGACAAATCTCAGCCTATTCCTATGCGTTACTAGCCTTGTAACGTTTACACGGACCTTAGAGATTTATATTAGGTAGTCAATTGCTGCAATTACAATCGTTATGGTCTCTTTTTGCATAAATTTAGTATCAAAAACCTACGATAAGGGTCTACCATAGCGTTCAATTAACAATTCTAAGTATGTAACAGACCTGTGCTGTTAGCTCTGAGCGCTATCTTCCACAGATGATCCATGGCGAGTGTGTGAGGGTGCGCGGCATCGCGAGAGTCTCCAGAGCCTAGCGCCATGCGCGCCAAGTTGCACAACTGCTGGTACAGGCTCAGACCCATTATGCTTATAGTCTGTAATAAAATTAATAACATTTTAAATGATATATTTAAAAAACATGTTACAAAAAATAATATAAAATAGGAGTTTCTGATGTATATTAGGAACAAATTATGAACCATTCTGTCTGTATGTTAAACTAGCGCTAATGTCATCGGCTATTTTATGAAGTCGGCCATCTTGGATTTATAGTGTGCTGTATTGTACTAGTCAAGTGTTTACATACTTCAGGATCCAATGTGGGCATCTTCTCGATGTACAAGAAACGCAGTGCGTCGAGGCCGAGGGCGTGCTGTTCCGGCGACTTGGTGTGTGAGAGCAGCCACGAATAGAGGCAATCGGCGCACTCACTGGTGCCGCGCACTACCAGGCACTGCCACAGCTCCTCCACCTGCTCCACTGTCAACCTGTAACACAAAAAAATTGTAAGATAACTCTGAATAGGTTATAAAATAGCACTCCTAGAAAAAGCCGTTCGACCAAGCTTTAAATGTCACAAATGTAAAGATGCATGATTTACAGGACATTTTCACGCTATCGATCAATCTGCCCATAATAAGATAACTTTTCACCGTCAATTCATTACAGGAAATGTAATTAAAATTTAATAATATATAATGCATTTTTCAAACATATTGATAACTTAGAACATGATATGAGTCGCTGCACGATATGCAATACTTAAGCGTAGTGGGTCGTAGAGATACAAAGGTAGGGCAAAGGGGAGCGAGCAGCTCAAGGTCATCCACCAAAAAGACAAAGTTCAAGTATTCCTATGTACCTGAAGTGCTGGGGTGATCCCACCGGTGAGAATATAGCTGTGAGAAAGTGCAGGCGCACAGTGAGCTCGGTGATGTGCGCGTAGTGCGCTGCGTCACCCGAACCGCGCGCGCTCTGCGTGTAGTGCCGCAAGTCCTCCACGAACAGACGCATCATGCCGCGCTCGCGCTCCGCCCACATCACCACCTGTGCGTACAATGGATACGTATACATTGTATTTATAAGTTACATATACTAGCTGTGGCCCACGACAACTTCCGCACGGAATTAAAAACCTTATTAATAGCCTATGTGTTCTTCCAGACTATATTCTATATGTATGTCAAATTTCAATCTGAGCCGTTCAGCTGTTCTGGAGATGTCTTCAAACAAACATCCATCCATCCATCTAAACATTCGCCTTTATAATATTAGTAAGATAAGATGTTTAAAAACGATAAATATAGTATTTAACATTATAATAAAAAAGAACATATCCATTATGATTTTTTTTACCTGATGCATATCCATTCCTCGTAGCTGTTGAAATGATGAAAACAGTTTTGGCAACAAGCGCAACGATACTGCTACAGATCTGTACAGATACGAACAATTAAAAATAAATAAACATAATACATACATCATCAACCTTCCCTTATCCCTACGGAGGGTCGGCACAGTATGTAAAACTCCTCCATACATCTATCAGCTGTCATATCTGAATCTACATCCTTCCTATGCATAACCTCTTTCACACAAATAATGTACATAACAAAAACAATTTTTCGATATATTTATTCTACTGTATTTTCACAAATTACTTACCTATGATTAGCTAAGTTGTCAAGACAACCTTCAATGAACTTGATACGTATAAATTTGTCAGTACTGAAGCACAGCAATGCACAGAGAGCCTTTTCAGCCTCCAGCACGAGACCTTCGCCAAGTTGCTCCTGAAATATTAAATCAATAATTAATATTATAAAACTAATTCATACATTTATTTTATTTTCATCTACAAATAGATATGGTCCATTTCAGGCGTCTTCCAAATCTAATCTCTAAATCTTTTAGTTTCTTAATCACGTCTAAAGGAGTGTCTTAATGCAAATTAATGAGAAATATATGAATGTTAATTTGTCATAATTCTACACAAGACTCTGAGTAAGACATAAAACACTTAACTTTAATGGAGTAGCTAGATACTCAGCCCACTCATATTAGTTCTACTCTTAGCATAGGTCAAAGCAATTTTAAATATGTACTTAATACTTAAATGAAATCATTCATAGAGATAATATGTTGTCCATACGACTCACAATGGCGCCGTCCTGCAGCAGGTCCCAGAGCAGCGTGTTACCAGGCCTGCATACCTCGTCCACGTTGAAGGGTAAGGGAGCCGCGGGTGAGGGCGGACGTCCACCGCCACGGTACTCCGTCAGGCACTGAGCCTGGGACAAGACATTAGACTATCCACTATCAAAACATATAGTCATCTCATTCTTTCCTTTTGAAATAACAGAGACAACGTTATGGGTCTGTACAGGTATTCGGAAAATCACTATTAGTGAAAATAATTAATAATTATTATAACTTATTCTTATTTAAATAAATATAACAAATATAGTATTTTAAAAATATCTTGGCCGCTCTGAAATTTCGTACGCGTCCCTACATAATTTTAGGTGTATTGGGGGAAGAAAATGCGCAACGCACAGATGATCTCCAACTGCCAACATATTTGAAAAGACTAATACGAAAGATTAAATAGCAATACACAAGTTATTAATTCCATGTGTTTAACTAATCTACCTGTGCGGCCAGACGGGCTAGTTCCTCCTCGCAGGCGGAGTCGTCTTCATCTAGATCCGGCAGATGGCGGTGCGAGTGCGGGGACACGGCGGAGGAAGCGCTGCCCTCCTCCTCCTCGCGCCGCTTGTAGCTCTCCATCAGGCGAAGCTCCATTAGTCTTCTGGTACAAACATTTTGTTTAACTCAAGGTAAAACGACAATAAAATTTGCAAAATACTTATAACTTAGTAACTACCTAGCCATTTTGTGACAAAAACAATTTACAATAAATCAATAGTTCATTTAAGAAAATCACTTGTAGTAAAGAACCCCTATTCTTTTTTTTCCAGAAGAGTGAGAATAAGAAATTTCAGAACTATATGAAACATGACACTATTTCAAATGACAATCTATATTCAATTAAAAAATTAAAAAGAAACGAGTTTGCCTATGAAGTGCCGATAAGTACCTTCTTACTTAATCTCTGAATACTTTCTGAGAATTAGCGGTGATATGAACAAACATAAAATATGAATATTTACCTAGCATCAACATTATCGCAAAGCAGTTGACAGTGCGCGGTGTCGCTGCCGGAGGACTCCTCCTCCACCTCGGATACTGACTCCGCCAACTCCGCCGTCTTCAGCTGCGTCGTTACTGAATCATATTCACCAAGTAAATATAACTAACTTGGTAGTTATTAATACCTCATACAAACAAAATTAACATTTTAATGATATTAACAACATTTTAATGAAAAAAAGTTACAGATGACAGGTGTATGGTCGTCAAGTGTGTGTGTGTATGTGTGTGTGTATGACCGCACTCACGGAAGTGCCTCGCCTTGCCGGGCTTGTGTCGCTTCTTATAGAGTTTCTTCTTGCGCGGGCGCAGAAGCTCCTCCGCGCCGCTGCTCGCGCTGCCACTGCTGCCTGCGCGCTTGCTGCGTCTGCACACCGCACAATTAAAAGTAGAAACAACTAAGTTATATACATACATAAAAAAACAGACTGACACCTGTCATATTCCGAGCAAGAAAACATTTAGTCAACACATTTCAACCAATTTCAACTTTCAAATAAATTAAAAAAAAACTGTGTTTTTTTAGTTAAAGTAGCTGTAGCCCGCGTCTCCGTCCGCGCGGAATTAAAATAAAACTTAATAAGTAGCCTATGTGTACTTCCAGATTATGTTCTACATCTGTGCTTAATTTCAGCGAGAATCCATGCAGCCATTTTGGAGATATCTTCAAACAAACATCCATCCATCCAAACTTTCACATTTACATTATTAGTAAGAAGTAAGATAAATATAATATATTTTAAAATGTCAACTTACTTTTGACAAGCTTTAAGCGTAGAGCATTCCTTCTTAGTCAATTCTTCTCCTTCGCGCAGCCACTCTTGTTCGGCTGAAATATATTTAATATTATGGTGCTACTTCATTTTAAACAAGTCATACATGTGATACAATAATTTTACCTGTCAATTCGCGTTGATGTTTGCTTTGTTTCCGCGGCGTAGGACCGGCCTCTTCACCAGATGTACTAAGTTCTTCACACTGCACATGCGAACATAGAAAAAAAAATCCAAATACATATATCCATTAAAAATCTATTGTATGAGTCATATGCGCTTGTGAGATTTTTTGTATGAATGCGTATTCACACAAAAAATCATAAATAATTTATGAAACGATCAGGACACAAACTTTTTACAGTATAAAATGCTAATACCTTTCATGTATGTTTGTATTGGGCCATTATATAAAATATAATAACATTTTAAATATTTTATTAAACCATTAAACCAATTTAAAAAATCTTTTACCATTGGTAAGTCACACTATCCCGGGGACATAGGATATATTTGTTACTGGAATACTTGTAAATTCTGTGCGAAGGTAGTCGCGGGCAATTGCTAGTAATGTAAATAAATGTAATATTTACCGGATCATCATCAGAGTTGGTCTGGTCCATGCTGACACTAGCCTCGGAGGAGGAGTTGTGGTGGGGTTTGCAGGTGGGCGGCGGCTGACGCGGCTCGTCGGGTGGGGGCGGGGACCCC